AAGAAAATGTATGAGAGTGGTATTAGCCTAAACATCCATCCATGGGTTGAGCCTAGGCCTGCGAAATCAGTCCCCCAACCCCTCCACCAAAACGTGCCCACAGGGCATGGACCCCAAAGTTGGGCATTCGAAGTTAGGCTTTCTCTGGAATCGACAACCCATCAGCTATTCACGTTACTTCCGTTTTGTTGAAGGCAAGGGGAGCCTGAGAATGGCCTAGGCCTAAGCGTCCGTCTGAGAGTTAGACCTAGGCTTACAAAAGGAGACCCCCTGGAATGAGCGTCCAGGGCACTTACCCCCAAAGTCTGGAGTCAGCAATCTAACGGCTATGTGTGTACCAAGATTCAGCCTCTCATCATGTCTAGAACATGGTTAGAATTAGCGTCAGTCAGTCAGTCACCATCGTCTATATATATTAGATGTTTCGTTGGACTTGGTAGATTATAGACCTCAAAAACCTGCCTTCGCTGGGCCTCTAAATGTCGTTCAATTTGTGATTTGCTCATACATCGTGAGGTTCTTTTCGGTCGTTCAGGTTGGCGATATCGCAGTGAAAAACCAAACGTTTGCTGAAGCTACCAGCCAACCGGGTTCCACTTTCGTTTTTGCCAAGTTCGATGGGATTCTTGGATTGGGATATTCCACGATATCTGTTCACAAGGTCCCAACGGTTTTTGAGAGCATGGTTCAGCAGAAACTCATCGATAGGCCCGTGTTCTCCTTCTACCTCAACCGGTGAGAGTAAATCTGGCAGTTAAGACGAGAAATCGAATGGCTCTTCACGCATTTGCTTTATTTAATTATTTTACAGCGACCTTTCCTCCGAAGAAGGTGGGCAACTCATTTTAGGAGGCTCTGACCCTGATTACTACCAAGGATCCTTCACTTACCTCCCCGTCTCCCGCAAGGGATATTGGCAGTTCAAGATGGACAAGTAAGCCATCCCCGACTTTGATATAACTTTATTCTAAGATCTCATCGATTGGAGACCTCGTTTCATCTCGTGAACAGAGTGAAAGTGGGTGACAGCACCGTGTACTGCTCCAAAGGATGCCAGGCCATCGCCGACACAGGCACGTCCCTCATCACCGGTCCTTCAAGCGAAATCGCTGCTCTCGCTAAGAAAGTCAATGCAAAGAGCAAGAGCGGAGACTATGTGGTGAAGATGGGGAAAACTTCTTAGTTTCACTCTCAGGGCGAGTGACAGAAAAATGACTCTTGGAATACTGTTTTTCTTCCGCAGGTTTCTTGCTCTTCGATCTCTGATCTTCCTCCCATCCACTTTGTCCTTAATGGAAAGGATTTTACATTGGAGGGAAACGACTACATCCTTCAAGTACGTTCCATCGCTTGACATGCCTTCGACGGTTTGCAATTTGCTCGTTAGTCGATTTAGACCACGAATGGAGTTTAAAAAAATTATCACTTACAGGTTTCAGAGCTTGGGAAATCAACATGCCTGTTGGGTTTTTCCTCACTCGATGTTCCACCACCGAACGGCCCGATGTGGATTCTTGGCGACGTTTTCATCGGAAAGTTCTACACGGAATTCGACATGGGCAACAATCGTGTCGGATTCGCCGCGGCTGTCTAGAGCTGCTGATACTTTCATGGGCATCACCTTATCTGCCTTCGTTCCTTGATATTTCATGTTATGTTCAAGTTCCCCATGTCACTGAATAATCCAGGTGGGCCCTGCGAAATGGGATAATAACCTGCGACGATGCAATAAGATTGATTGGAAACTCTTTAAGTGACTTGAATATATACCTGTATACTGATGATCGTGAGTGACTGGGGGGGGGGGGGGGCCTGACGCTAATTCAACCATGTTCTAGATAAGTTAGAAACCTGAAAATTGACACATAAGTAACTACTCAATCGACTTCAATGATATATGACTCAAACGATAGCCAATTCAAGACATATTTACAATGGAACATTTCAGCATTCTATACAAAAATATAACAAAGTTACACCATAACAAATGAAAGTGCTCGTATCTTGCAACAAAAGCCTGTAAATATCGCAATACCTTCTGAAATTCGAAATTCATTCGTGGGTTTTTCATGCAACGCGAGGGATTGCCTGTGTTATGCGTGACCCCAGTATCCTGCTAAAGACGAATATTGCCATTTTGTTTGATACTTTTAAGAGGGCAAATTTGCGCGGAGAAAATTTGGACATTTTTCTTTGTTTGGGCCCAAATGCCTCGGTTCCTGATGAAATCAGGATGACAATTCATAGGTTTCCGAACCGGAGGAGATACATCGGCAGACCCTTGACAACCCAGATAAGCTGAAACAGGCCATTAAAGCTTCCTTCGCCACAGCAGGCCTAGAGATTATTGAAAGAATTCTGGTGACATTCAAAGAGAGACTGCACCAACCTCGCATTCCAATCCCTCGTCTGCGTAATAGCCGTTCTTCTTCTGGACGCAGTCGAATCTGGTCTTTTGCAACAATAGGGTCAATCGGTCCGGCTTATCCTCTTCCTCTTCCTCTTCCTTGTCCTAGGAGCCATGGCTGGCAACTAATGGCAGAAGCCGCCTTATATACCCCGAGGGCAGAAGCTTCGAGAACATTCCAGCATATACAAACGCAAAGCCCCGTCCATCAATCCTTTGAAAATTTTCATAAATAATTTTAGAAAGTGTTCCAAGACTTTCTTTCCAACCCAATACTTTCCATACGTTTACGCCTCTTGGAAAATAAATTAATGAATGAATCACTAACCTGAACAATGGAGCTCCGAAGGCGCTCCATTGTTCATAGCGAGTTTGTTTGCCCAAAGGGCGAAGAAACTCGAAAGTTTATAATAATTATTTTGCATCAGCCAAATATTTTTTACACGGCGATATTGAAAATTTGGGTTGCGGCAAAAAAACCTAATTTCAGCATGAAGCACGAATTTGGTCCATTCTAGGACTGAGCCAGTCCATGAAAAAGCAAATGCTACAAGCTGGAGGGAAAAGGCTAATCAACAGCCGCCAAGGGTATTTACGGAGGGTGAACGTAGGATGTCTCTTTCCCGGAAACTGCAGGAAGTGCCCGTGCCACGCCCCACGCTATCAATCAGGGAAATTCGACATCCGATGTCCTCTTCCTATCTCTTCGTCCCACCTGCAGCCATGGAATCTTAATTGCTTCCTCGTTCTTCACGGTCACTCCCGACGAGGTCATTCGCGAGCTGACGCACGCACGGACGCCCTTCCGGCTTCTCGGTGTAGGGTGTCGCCAGTTGCGGCAGTATTTCTGAGGAAAACCGATTAACCCGTTCAATCCGAACTGCAACACGGCCGAGGAAACCTTGCTTCTAATATATCCATGCTCGAATTAGAGCCTAAAGTATCACCGATTTAAAAAAGGGTCTCATCTATTGGAGAACTCGTTTCATCTCGTGAACAGAGTGAAAGTGGGTGAGAACACTGTATACTTCTCTCCGGGGTCCCAGGTCATCGCCGACACCGGCACGTCCCTCATTACCGGTCCTACGAGCGAAATCGCTGCTTTCGGTAAGGAAGTCAATGCGAAGCTTAAGAGCGGAGACTACGGGGTGGCTCAAAAAGAACCAAGCTATTGACTTCAACTTGCTGTAAATCAGGCTGCAGTGGCTTGATTTGAGTAAGCTTTTAGACACACTTGAAACAGCAATTTTGCAGAATATATAAAATTGTATGGTATGATGCCACAATTTTTTGCCTGATCCGGATGAAAATGGCCATCCCCATTTAGAAGACTGCTGAAACAGTACCTGGCTGTCATTTCAGTTGGAGCAGAGACAGCTATTATTATTAAGGAAACACTTTATCTTCTGCATCAATGTCTTAAGATGTGTTCCGGAATTACTTTCAAGACCCCTCCATAGGTGGACCAAAAAGTAATTCCGCAATTCACTTGTTTTATTCAGTGATGATTTGCAGTACCGAAATCATTATTTTTCAGTTTCACGACTTAAGAAGTTAGCTTAGAAAAAATGGATGTAACCAGTCTGAGTCTTGAATAAAATATAAGTCATGTCAGACTGTAGTCGATTAGCAAAAATGCACATCATGGGGTTCGTGACTCCAAAATTTAAAAAAACATTATTTGAGATGGCAATTTAACATTTCGATGAATTGAAATTGTTTTCATAGTAACGTAAGAAAAATCCTTGGAATAATGTTATCAAATCAGTTGAAACGCACAATTGGTCATCTTTGAGTTGACGTATCGGAAGCCTCACGTAAAATTTGATTAAATAATTGTAAATTTGCCATAAAGTCTGGATGTCCATGATAAAGAACAAAATATTACTTTAGTCACCCCTAAAGACACTGTACCGGGTTTCCTTTCGAACCCCCTAATGCTTTCTGAATTTAAATGCCTTTCGTTAAGAACTTCAACCCCAGACGTCAAATATATTGGACCATCCCAGGATCCAGGCATTCAAAGTCAATTTATCGTTGGTATTTCATTGGGATTCATTCAAGTGGAATGTTGGACTTGCATAGTAGGATTTCCTCTGACGCAGAAATCTTGAAAAACGTTCGGATCCAGGTCGAAAAAATTAGTTCCATTGCTGCAGTAACCCGCCACGCACGCCAGGAAATCGGGATTAATTACTAGCCACGCCATGCTGCAGTCGCACTCCACGGGGTTATCTGCAATGCACGATCGGAGGAAAAAGGATCGGAAACATGCTATCGTTGAGCATTGTGGGCAAGCAGGATCTCACATTCCAGATCGATGTAGCCGTCGCCCAGTGAGAGAACCTCCAGCATGGGGCGGAAGGAGTCTTCCCTCAATTCCTTGATTTCATTGTAATTTAGATATATTTCCGTATGGAACCCCAAACCTGGAACGAAAACGGGGAACTCTCTTGCACCTCCTGGCGGAAAGACTTCTCATAGTAAGGAGGATTCCCATGGTTCTCCCCCCCCCCTCAAGTGGATGCAGAGGAGAGATCATACCTGTGATGGCATCCAACTCCAGAGTTGAGATCGGGTTCCCTGTTAGAAGAACATATCGTATGGGTGCCCCGTGGAAGTCAAAAGACCTGGTCGACAATGTTGGTCCGAGGGAGCAATACAGACAATAAAATTCTACCAAATTCCCCATGTCGCTGAAGAATCCAGGCGGGACCTCCGAAATGGGATTATAACCTGCGAAAATGCAACAAAATTGACTGAAAAGCCATTAAATGACCTGAATAGGATACATATTCTCTCATGTCATGAAAGTTTATGAAACGCACAATTAAATATTTATTGACTGTTCACTTTCATAAATTGTTCCAAAATACCGAGTAGTATCACTTTCTCTTCCAATAAAAATAAATATGCAATAAACTGTAAAAAATGCAGGAAAGGGAGATCGGAAATGAAACATGAATGATTGAGAACCAGATTACAACCACGAACTGCTCACGTTCACGACCGTCTTTCTTAAAGAATCAAGTGAAAATGGATTTTTTTCGCCCACGAAGACAACACAATCAGGACTTGCGCGTGTAGCCGCCTGCATTCCTTTTTCTCATCCTCTCAACTTACGAACGTGTGCATTGGGAGGATGTATAGAGATGAATAGAGAATGAAATACATAGAATGATAACTGCATGAAAAGGTTCGAAATACATAGTGATTGATTTTTGAGTCATCGACTTGGATGCTTTCCCACTCACTCAAGACGAGACTTGTCAGATTTGGTAGAGACGACCCAGCCTCGAGCTCCGCTATTTCATTCGAGCTGATGTCGAAGTACGTCAGACTGGCGCTTCGGAGGTGTGGCAAAGTGGTAAGGACGTTACTGTAGAAATGGAGACTCGTAAGATCGGAAAACTCCGGGAGAACGTCCCAAGGGAATTCCCGAAGGACGCTCAAGGAGATTTCCAACCTCCGAAGCCGATCGTTCGAGGGTAGCACGGCCGCAGGATGGATGCTGGCCACGGCGCTTCCTCGCACGAGTATTTCCTCGAACGTGACATCGCCGAAGACTCCCTCGGGCAGCTCGTCAACTCCCTCGTTGTTGGTCAGCTGAAACTTCCTGCAAACCGAAGGGGAAATTTTCGATATTATCTCTGCGTTGAATTGCTGCTTTAATTTTAATCTTTCCATCGTAGCGCATGCGAGAAATTTTTGACCTTGATGATTTTCATGGACGAGCTCGAAAGGGAAAAACTCGACTCTTGGTTGAAGAAAATGAGTTTCACATACCATATTTTTTTAATTCCATCAAAATATCGTGATAGGACACGGGATCAAAGGTTACTTCGCACTGGAAAGGCGAGGGGACATCAGAGGAACATCCACAAGAAAGTGGAAGAAGAAATAAATTCCTCAACCTGGCAAGACCCGAATACCGCCTCGATTTCAAGGAGCTGTTACAATCATGCTCACATCATCTTACGTGAGGTTTGGGAAGAGCCAGCTGGCCCCGTTGAAGACAGAGAATATCTCCTCACTCGATGTCGCCCCCGAACAGTCCACGGTCACAGTGTTGTGGAATGCGTTGTGGGAGCAAGTGCATGGGGTGATATCTTCGGGATCGGGACACGGAGTTTGACCACTTGTCCCAGGAACGGAATAGAGCACGAAAAGGGAGAGAAAAACCAGGAATCCCTGCATCTTAAAGGCGAGAGACACTGGGAAATGATTTGGAGAAAGGAACAGAGTGGATGGAACAGCCTCGATGCTTTCTTTTCGAATGCACTGGGTCGGTCCTGCTGGATGTGAAAATCCGCACGTGCTGGCAGTAAATAAATATAATCGCACGATGACGCATCAGAGAGACGTTTACAGAAAGAGAAAGCAAGTGATATGGAGCCCTGACCTGGAGAATTCCTCTTTGCACCCCCGAATGAAATACTGGGGGCAAATACTTTTCGAACGTGTCACTCTGTTGGGGTCCCAAAGTAATCCCCGAATTCATTTTGTTTTGAGCAGTGATGGTTTGCTGTACTGACTTCAATAATTTTCCCGTTTCAAGATAATAAAAAAACAAGCTTGGAAGAATTTGATTCGATCAGTCTGAGTCTTGGAAACGAGGTAAAGCGTGTCAGATTGTGCTCGATTAGCAGAAATGCTTATCAATTGGTTCGTGACGACCGAGGACTTCATGACTTCACCCCACGAGACTAAAAGTCCGATTCAAGGGTATATTGCAGACTTTTATGAACTGGGATGTCGCAAATTTACCCCCCCCCCCCACTGCGGTCGACCACCTACTTCTGTACGGCATAGTTGAGCAAAATCGACCATTCGGGAATCAATCAGGAAAAACATACTCTGGCCTCATGTTCAAACTTGATTGTTGCGTTAATAGCTATAATCAATCGCGTTAATCGCCATAATCAAGAATCTCCATTGCCCGATAGGGCAATGGAGATTCTTGAATTCGGATTGAAGAGGACTCTAAGTCTCCTGATATCATTGTTTTGGCAGGGATTCGGCAGTTTCTCTCGTCAGCGCAGTGGACACTGAAACGCATCTCGGAATGCTTGAAAAAAGTGCCTGGCCGCATTTTCCGCACTCCCTACTAACGACACATTGTGACCAATGCGTGATGGGCCCATGACTACCGAGGCACAAGAGGTCGTCGCTGAATTGGCGAAAACTTTACAAACAGATTGGTCTACAGGAGAATGTCGGTCGAGTAACCACCAAAATCACGTGATTTAACACCAAACTGACATTTTCTTGAGGCTTGTTATATAAGATGGAGTTATATGTTGTATGTTACTAACAGCCATTATCTGGACGGATTACATGATAAAAGTTCCATTTGAGTTGAGCGCTGATTTCGATTGAGCCTCAATTATGTGCAAAGGCTTCCCGCTGTGTAAAGATAAGCTTCCGATCTATTTAGGACAATGTTACTCAACCTCTGGCCCCTGGGCAAAAAGTTGCCCTCGTGGTTCTTACAAGTGATCCGCGAGGTCCTAACCCACAATACCCTCAGGTTCCCTTAAAATGGTCTCCTACAATACTAGTGACTTAATATGGCCCGCGAAGGTTGTGGCAGTGAGATATGTTGCCCCCATGACCCCCCCCCCCC